ATATTGATTCGTCCAAAAATGATTTAACAATGATTAAAAGGCTAACTGTGAAGGGAGCGATTCAGTTTATATGAAAAATGTCAAACTACTGAAAATACTAGCACATTGGAATTCTTAGAATTTGTGTAACACGTAATCCTTAAAAATGTTCTCTCGAACAACCATAATTTTCTCACCACTTCCTGATATCAGATTGCTAACTTCACGGAAAGGATATATTCGGTTTTGCTCAACCCACAATTACAAATTACTATTAAATCCTGAACAAATTTAATCATGACGAATGCTGTTCAAGAAAGATAACATTGTGTATTCAGTAGCTGTAAGTAGAAAAATCAATCATCTATCATAGTCTTATCATTATGATTATCAGTCGAAATGTAAGAGTTAGAAAGTGATGTTTAATTAGTTTTGAGTCATGACAGTTTTCAAATATCTTCCACTGATTTGTTAATCTGATTACGCTTAAGTCAAAAGACAAGAAAACTCCCAGAGGAAAACCCCATAAAATTTAGAAGACCGTTGATTCAAATATATACTTCTGTAACAGTAATTATTTCTCTCATTTAAAAATTAAAATAGACATTTGATACTCAGTAGTGAAATGTTGGTTTTAGTGAAGTAAAGCATCTAAAATTATGCTTCGATATCCCTTGACATTAGTGTATAGATACACTCTCCCCATCTTTCTAACTAAGCTATTTCGCAATTGTCTACCTTATTCCACGAACGATTGCACAGTTCAGTTTAAATTAACATTGTCTTCGAGGGTTGTTAACAAAATAATATGATAAAACATATTAGGAGCTTGAAATTAGCTAAAACTAACTCCCTAAAATACTTAATACAGCGGACTGAGCCTTAAAAAACCTAAACCATAATTTATACAAAACTGACAAACTAATTGTGAAAAATGACTAGTGATTGAAAAAGTGAGCTTCAATTTGATACGAAATCAAATCATTTTCATAGTTTGAATCCTTAACTGATCTTAGCTAGACCAACACTGAAAACCTGGGAGCACTGAATAGTTGCTTCATCCTAGTATGCGATTACTGTAAAATGTGCACTTGCAACCTCACGACAGAGGACTGGACCCAGAACCTTCAGTTTTTCTCGTGAATGCTTAACGTCTAGATCACTGAACAGACAGTGGTTTGCATCTCAAACCCTCATCTAATGCCTACAATAGATAACTGTCTCACACTCGATATGATTGGACTCCAGTGGTCACGGCTTATCACTAGAACTCCAAGAATAGCATCTTGAAGCTAGTCATTGATGAACGAGTAACTATTATTTGTGGAGTGTTTATGTAAATTGTAGAATTTTCATTGTCTTAAAGCATACGATATAAACTATGAAAATCTCACAAACTGTTTTATGGTTGAGGCCACAACGTTGCGAATTTAATAAGGTAAATATATCAGTATTCACTTTCATTATTCCATATAGACATTCACAATGAACTTAAAATTACTGTACATGTGAACCTAACTTGCTCAAAAGATTCAAATAAACTGTGTTGAACTAATCAATGAAGAATTTGTTCACTGTTGGTAGCATATATGAAGTATGGTGTTTGCATTACGGTTAGACATAAGGATGCAAACACTTAAACGACGTAATAACATGTAAAAATCGTAGTAGATAAATAACTTTTCTATACTGTGTATAAATATGTCTATATTATAACATAGCACAAACCTTTTAACAAATATGAAATCACTAAACACCTTGTTTCATGAACATGAGAATCTCTCCAGTGATCTCAAATTTCAAAAAAACGTCATAAGAATTCAAATGACTTAATTTGATTGATAAGATTATAAATTGGCATTGAAAATTAAAAGATCTAATATGCAGTTTTTTGAATTGATGATCACAAAATTAGTTCTCGAAAATTTGATCAGAATAATTCAAAAAAATTCATAAATCAAACTGCTGAGAAATTTTAACACCTCACTTGTTTTTTAAGTACGTGCTAACAACTTTGTCTGTGATGAGGATAAAAGCTTAATGACTAAGTCATCCAGCTCAGGGAACGCATCACCTCCAGGAAATTTTCTAGTCATTGTCAATAATACAATCATAAAAGAGTACATCTAATATTATGTGTAAATTGTTCATTGACCCATAGCGAGAATACTAATAATGATTACAGCTCTGATTATCGATGCCACATTGGCATGACTGTCTAACTTTTATATTGTGACGATGCACTGGTTGGAGTACTTTTTCTTTGTGGTTGTATTATACCAAGCAGGTCAGATAAAGTAGTACTACCAAGAACAAACAATAATACCAATGTGTTGTGGTGTGAGACAACAAGATATCTAAAACTTTAGCCTACTTTATCACTTACTTTGGAACAGCAAAAATGCGTAAACCAAGTCACCTCGAGACGTGATCATGTAAGTCTTGACTAAGTTAATATACTAGAACAAATACCAACGCTCAAATATAATCAAATTCACTGACCTGAGGAGAGCATTTGGCTACCTTGACCAAGAGGTTTTGTGGTTGTGTTTGTCGTTGAAAGGTGTGTTGAAAAGCATGTAAACCTCCTGAAGACTATTTACTTGAATACCTTTAGTTGAGTTAAGGCCGTAATTGACAACTTTCATCAGCGTTCTTCAAGGCAGCTCGCTATCCCCATTTTTCCTCGTTACAAGTATTCACATAGAAATTTCCTTCGTTTAAATTTTCAAGTATATATCTTCTACTCGGAAACTCACTTATCAATCTAGAATACTCAGATGATAATTGTGATAAATAAGGATAATTAGAAAGACCAATCTTCCAAACGCCTCGAGCAACAATGCAAAAACTTATGGGTTGCTTTTCTTGCAATTTTAGGACTGAACTGCAACATCACTTAGATTGCTCACAGCGAGTGAAGGAGTTGATTTAGTCAAAAGCAAATAATTTATCTCGGAACTCTCATCAGCCCATTAGGGCTGATGTCCGTTGAAATCTCGGCAAAGTTTCAGAATACTCGATTGGCTTTTGTCAAATATTCTGCAGTAGCATTTTAAATTTAAATTATATACCTGATACTTACAAAATAATATCGGTTTATCTTATGAAAAGAAATATAATATTTTGGTGTATTTATCAAAACATTTGTGTGATATAAGACGCAGAAATGAGAGAGTTCATTAGATAGACCAATATCTGATGATAGGATAGGATTGATACATTTTGATATACCAAATGAATAAAAACATTTTACACTTATGAGACAGCTTAGAAACATCTCCATCGATACAAAAACTGTTCATTTTTTAGATATTAGACTGTCTGAGCGCACACAGTAGGTATTGAATAGTTAATAGCTGAATCATTAAGCCTTAAAGTTCATATTTTCACTACCTAGTTCACTTTGATCAGTCAAACAAAAAATTCAACATACCCTTTGAAAGTAAATGTAACCTCAAAGTCAGACGCAGACTAAGAAGTTTAGTTAATCGACACAGCTTTCCGAACTCTAATCAGACAACATATTCTATGTAGTTACCAAACGTAATAAATGTAATGCGGCAGCTAAAAAATTTTATGAGAAAGCGGACACAACCCATATCTGCCACAAATTAGTAAATCAACGAGTGAGTTCAATGCAGCGTACAAATCTAAGGCATCTCGTAAACCAAACATAGACTGATGCAAACCCAATTTGACAAATCTTTATGCTTTAAATGCATTTAATTCAAGTGTCAGTTGTTTTCATACTTCAAATTTTTGATAATATTTACGTAACCACACAAAGGACATTAGAAATTTACTGGGTTTTGTCATAACTATTCGTTAATTGAAAGATTTCTCTCTAAAAGGCAAGTTCATCTCGTTTTCTAAAAGTCATTTTACCTTATATTCTTATCTACATTGGTCAGGTAATTTTTGTATTATCATGTTATATACTCATTTTTCTCTTCGTTCACGTCCAATAATACAGGTATGCATATATCTTCGATGCTAATATACCATTTGTTATGAACAACAATCTTTATAGCATTCTGAATCACTTATTTCAGCAACAGTTCTATACGCCTTTCTGATTAATCATTATTATTGATTCCCGTGGCTATTATGGTTTATATACGATAATTTTGATGTATAAGGTGCTCGTATATTGTCAGTTTATTTGGAGGTCTAGCAACACACATGTGCATGTGAGTCATCAGTCTAAGCAATCAAACAAACTTCTTGCCCCCTGGATGTAGCTTGGTTTAAAATATCCCCAAAATTCATTAGCACTAATGAGTATTAGTCAAAGAATATATAAGAATGAGATAGGCCGACCAAAGTGGTGAGCTTTTTGTTTAAAAAAACGCTGTAAGATCCTGGGGGAACGAATGTTTTTTTGTTTCCATTTTGTGTACTTTTATTCTTTCGCTGAGGTAGTTTAAAGACTACCTAGCAGTCCGCTAAAAATTATGGATGGACATTGTGAGCATTTGCATGATGTCACAAAAATAGTGATTGATGTCACTAGCAAATTTGCGAAACGACCACAATTTATGCGCTTTAAATAAAGTTTACAAAATGGTTACTCCTGCACCTTTGTATTTACTAATTTCGCTTAAACCAGTAGTAGATAATAGAATGCCAAATTTCACCAACACCTAGAATGGCAGGAAACATGGTGTTGGCAATTTTTTTAAAAACTGGCCCACAGTTTACTAATATTCTGTTCGTAGCTACTCAATTGACAAAAATACAAAATATATGTCATTTTCCACTTATTTTCAAATACATTGAGGATTGAGTAGACCGTTTGTAATAATAAAATGATACATTTGTAATATCCCAGTGAGTAGAAAATTAAATTGTTTCTGAAGCAGCAACTTACACTATGCCATGAAACGATAGAAATTCTATTTTCTACTTATTAGGATATTATTTTATAATTACTCTTTACTAATGTAAAGAAAACGTAACGATTATATTGAACTGATGTACTATTTACATATTTTAAAATCAATTTTTTAAAAACATCTTCAGAAACTAGATTCAATAATATCAGTATCGTCAATATGCGTCTTCTCGACAGACTGACGATTTATGTAAGAGTCCATGGCAACTTCAGAATCACTTAAAGATTTAGTCAAATCATTTTCTTCCGAAACTGAATTAAGTTCTTGTTCAGTGGAAGATTTATGGATTTCAATTGAATTTGACATGGATTCACCTTCTCCAGTTTCATTTATATTGTTTAAATCAGTAGAATTCAAAATACCAGATTTTGCAAGTACCTAAACGAACAGAAAAATATAACATTACAACCAATTTTTAAAAAAAAGACAAAATTTTATTTTTAGTAATCAAAAAATATATAGCTGCACATAAAATTTACACAAAAAAGTCAGACATATTTCTTATGCTACTTATAACTACAATTTCATGGGTATTTTCTGAGAAAAATTGTAAGGAATATTTCATATAACACATGTTATAAATAATCAAAGAATATCCAGTGAGTAAACACTACAATGGATTAAAACGTGATGAAAATTTAACATAGATTCCAGTTCTGTGTGAATACTTTGGAGGTAGAATAAGTATTTGAAAAGGAACTAACACTTCTATACAACTTGGTATTTCAATTGGTAACCCTACAAGCGATAATTATTATTGACACATTAGGTTTTTGAGCAGGTTAAAAGCTGAAATTCTACATATCAAACAAATAAAATTAAAAAATAGTAACTACTTGATAGAAATACAGGTTAATCAACTAACTAACCACCTAATACGAACAGCAAATTTACTATATAAGTCTTATGCAGTTGTAAAAAGGTCACTGCTTTACTTTCGATGTAGATCTTACGCTGAAGATGATTTTTGATTTCAGTATCAACAGTTGGTTAAAAAAGCCATTTAGTTTGAAAAACAAGATATCAACTAGACTAGTAATGCTTTCTAGTGGGTGAACAATTATGGTTGAAACGAAACTACAAGATTAAAATATAGTGCTTGCTAGATACTAAATTTAAATCTATTCTAACCAAGGCCTGTTTAGGAAACCATCAAAAACTGATATTTTGCATAGAAACATAGAACTGTATGGATGAAACTTAAAAGTACAAGAATGAACCTTGCAAAAAGAGAACCTTGTAACCAAAACCCATAACACTTTGTTGTTGAAAGAATGAAAGATTCATGTGAAGATAAACACAATGTTTTTTTACTTAATCATTCATATCAACTTAAGTTAAATCGAATCAATTTAGACTAATGCAATGAGTATTAAACGTCAAAATGAAATACGGTAACAATGGCGAATTTATGTAACCTGTTGTTAGATGCTAGTTATATTCAGCTGTCCAAAATGAAGTATGTCGAATTAAGTTCTAACCTGCAATAACACGGTGGAATATAAAGTGGCTTAATAAGTTAAACACACGAAGATTGGTACAAGGGGAATCAAAATACATAGTGGTCACACAAATCAGGATTTATGTGTGGGCTGGGATACTGTCCAGGTGGTTTCCTTCGAGCCAGAAGTCAAGTCCACAAAACAGCGGAGTAACATTGAGAGATCGGCTACCTAGATAGCCGGTGACAAACAATAGGTTTATATACCATTTGTTTACTCAAGATCCTGAAGACCATAAGCACCATAGGTTTGGAATTAGGGTTTTCCAGCTTCGCTAGGTGAATCCTACGCACTCACCGACCCGGACTTTCGCGTCACACTGAGTGCAGAAGTTTATGGACGTTTCCTTGGTAAGATAACATTCCATAAGATACGCTTCGACTTAATATCATATAAAGTGGGTCTGAGTACTTTAAATCACGTGTCTGTTGTAACGCTTTTTTCTTCTTTTTATAATGTTTAAGAGGGACAATGAAATTTTATAGTCTTTTTACTTATAAAAGAGATTCCCTGTATTCATTTGTGTTCGAAGTTGAAGAACAGTGTCCACTATTATGCATATTCGTAGATTCAATTCAGCACAACAACTATGTAGACGAATATACAGAAAGTCAAGTAAAAACTCAAAACTACCGACCTGCTGAATTGACTTCATATCTACTGTATTAGCTAAATCATCTTCGTTTATGTCCATACTAATATCCATATGTATATAATTCTGAGCAGGATCAAAATCTGTTGGTGATTTGATGTCACCGAGATTTTCGTTTAATTCCTGTCCACACTGTTCAAAGTGTTCCTTAGGAGGAATTTTTGTTGACTTCCTTGAAGATAATGGAGTAGAACGATAAAAATTTGAATTGAATGGTGCAAATGATGATCTCGAATTTAACGAAGTTCGAAGATGATGAAGTGGAGTTTTTAAAATATTTGATCCTTTGTTAGTTTTCTCATTATCATGAGATCTTGATGGAGTTTTCTGAGTTATACTTATTTCTCGCAAACTTTGCGTAATTGAATCCTCTATAGTTATGCATTCTATATCAGCAACTGGTGCACTAGGAGGTGTATCGAGGCACTCATTATCCGATAGATCATCAGTTGGAGAATTCCTGATTTCCAGAGATCCATTATCATTCTTCTTCTGTACTTCTACAACTTCAGTAACATCTTGTAACTGACGTCCTAGCTTTGGCGAGAGGGGTTCATTTACCCCGTACGTGTTTACAGAACTAATTCGATCAACTGACTGATGCTCAGCAGTGGTGCATACTAATGGTATATTTGAATTGGGACTTATATTTTCACTATGATGTTCAATATTAGATGAAGTGTAAATGATGTTAGTGTGTGGATTGTTAAATGATGTTACTGGTCTATTGAACATTGGTCTATGAGTGTCAGACTTGGAAGGCTTGAACAATTGATCTAATGGTACATGATTAATAAAACGATTGTCATGATTGTGGTAACTGGAAGGTGGTAATTTATTTTGTAAATTAAGATTTGCTAAATGTGTTGGCAATGATTTTACAGTACTTTCTGCTTGTGTCATTGTGACTGCTGGCATTTCTTTACCAATTACTCTTCCTTCAACAGCACATTCTTCAGCTATGGCACGTTCAGCTGCAACACAACGATTCATAACGTATAATTTCTCATGATCCGTATCAATAGCTCCTTCGTTAATACATTCCTTACTAAACATTAAATCATGAAACGATAAACCATAAACAACATGCTTTAGTGCATCACTACTGAGGAATTTTAAATGTGGGCTAATGGAACTATCAGACCATCTATCTGAACCATCATGTAATAGGTCTAGCTGCCGTTTAGTTTCAGAAATACGTGTGTCTCCGAGACTAAATAATTCAACCAGCTCTTGGCGACTGAAATACCGGTAAGGATCTAAGTCGGTTTTGTTTTGGCCTGTCGACGTTGTCTGGCGAATTACGGAATCTTTGAATATTTGACGACGATAAATCTTTTCTTCGACAGTTGCACAAGTAATCAATCGGTATACAACTACATCTAATTTTTGACCTATTCTGTACGCACGATCTACAGCTTGTGAGTCTACAGCTGGATTCCAACTTGGATCGAGAATGATAACACGATTAGCTGATGTAATTGTCAGTCCAACACCACCAACCTACAACAAAAAATCATGAAATATGAACCGAGCATGGATTATTTTAAGATATATTACATGTTTATATTAATGAACTTAGTCATATTTATTAAGTGAAGGATAACGCTTTTATCAAGTTATAAAAAAGTGTAAGTGAAGCATAATTAAAAATCGAGTTAGCGAAAAAATGTTATCAGAAATTAGCTACGAAGTACTAATTTCTCAATGGTATTAGATAAAATGGCTTAGTCCAGTAGGGTATCGAAACTACGTCGCACAAAGAGACTAAAATTACCAAGAAAATAGATGGAAAATGGTTTAATTAATCAATGAAATGAGAAGTGTAACTTATTAATTAAACCATTACAGTCCGAGTAAGAATTTAGCAAAGATAATTTTCAATTACTCAAAGAAATCATCTCACCATTTATCGAAAATGCAACTGAAATGATGAAGAAGAATTACTTCTGATAGTTATACTTTAATTCCTTTGGTGAGCGAGTGATGTACGAAACTTACATTCTCCAATCGTTCATTTATTAAAGGACATCTGATCATGTTTATTTTGGGTTTGATATGTTGTATATAAGAATGCTATTTCATAAAATATAAGTTGTAACAAAATAAATTCGTTTACGACAAAATAATTATAGCTTTTACAACTTTTGTATTTGTGGGTAGGGAGTCATTTTCGGCATCGTAGTAGTCATAAATTTTCGAAGACTATACTGATGCTTGAAAATCCCAACTTGAAATAGGTGATGTTCCCAGACAAAAATCTGAGTCTTTTTTATTTGAACGTCCAATTGACAAGCTGGTGGAACAGTGTACAAATTGAAAGCGTAACGTAGGTTCATATACCGGTCCTTTCCTTAGAATCTTGGAGCCGACGTCACTATGAATTTAAAATAAGCTTTTCTCAGACCCTTAGATCCTTGAGATACAGTTTATGATCGGTAATTATAACAAGATTTAAAAATTATTTATTGTCCTCTGAACTTTGATATTTGATTAACAGTTACACTACCAGAGTGATGAATTTATCACTAGACTTTGTAAAGTGAAATGGACACACAAACACTTTTTAGTTGCAAGTTCGTCAGCCATAATCAACGTAAAGCTCAAGACAAATATGAGTTATCCCAAGTTGACACACTACATCACGACGAGATGAAGTTAACAAGATGTATAACAAAGAAGCTGTGATAATTTTAGTAGCAATAATATTTATAAATACCAAACATTGAGAATATAGTTTGTTCCTAGGAGGGTTAAACTACAATACAAGTGACGCCTCAAAACTAGAACTGTTCACCACACTAAATTCAGCACTCAAAACTGATGGAATAAGTGAAGAAACTCAACAGGAAATAAGACAAACCATAGTACTGCTAACTAGACAGAAGACAACACCTAGCTTTAAAGAAGCTCAGAACTAGAGAAGATATTGTCATAGTTTAAGAGGACAAAGCATGATCTACAGTAATTATGGACAACGAAGAACATATCAGGCAAGCCGAGGAACTAATTAAGGATAAAAGCGTAAATAGATCAATGGACACAAATCTAACCGAAAGGTTAGACAACCAAATCTCAAGGGCATTGAACAATCTTGTGAAGCAGGACAAATATCGAAGCAACATCAATAGAGTTTTCAGTTTCAGCTACAACGTAGGACTAGGCACATATGTGCATCGGTCCAGGTTGCCATACCTCATTAGCACAGCAAGATGAACACCGGATTCATAGCAGTGGTTAGGTCAAAGGTGGTAATATATTGGAGGAAGATTGTATATGAGGATACAGTACAGGAAGAAAGAATCAGTTAGTAGAAAGATGTGAGGTGATTTTAATCTCTTAGTTTAAGGGAAGACAGGGAGTGCATAAACCTTCACCATTGTGATCGATTCTGAGCCATGTCACAAGAGTCTCCAACCATTGGTTACGAAAGTCACGCGGACCCCAACCAAGTAGTCTGCATCTACCAGAGGTTAGTGTCTTCAAGCACTGATGCCACGTTTTGGTTTGGCCGCCCCTTACTTTCTCCCAACTATCTCCAACACCGGTTAGCATTGCACGTCGTGGTAATCGGTGTTCAGGCAAACGTAATACGTGGCCCAACCATCTCAGTCGATGAAGATTCATAACCTCATCAACTGATTTACCATCATTCCCTAATACCCTGCGTCTAACCTCACTATTACTTACCCGGTGATCCCCGCAGATGCCAGCAATATTTCTAAGGCATCTGTGGCCAAATACTAGTAGCTTACGAGTGTCTTCTACTCTTAATGGCCATGTTTCGCTGCCGTAAATTAAAACAGAACGAACTGCCGCGCAGTATACTCGTCCTTTTATTGATAGACGGATATCTCGCTTTCACCAAAGGTGACGTAAGTTGGCAAAAGCCAAACGAGCTTTTCGAATCCGTGCTGAGATTTCGTCAGACACCAACCCATTAGGGCTGATCAGACTTCCAAGATAAGTGAAGTTGTCAACGCGTTCAACTACTTCACTCCCTATCCTTATTTCAGGTGTTGACGCAGGCCAGTCCTGACGCAACAACTTGCATTTAGAGGGAGAGAAGCGCATTCCAAAAATTCTGGCATTGTTGCTTAGTGCTACCAAAAGACTCTGCATTTTGTCAGCGTCTTCACCAAACAGGACTATGTCATCTGAGTATTCTAAGTCGATTAGTGGGCCTCCTGGTAGGAGATCAATACCCGAGAATTCAGTCGACGAGGTTATTTCTATCAATAGGTCTATGATGAAGTTAAACAAAAATGGGGAAAGTGGACAGCTTTGACGGACACCACTTGAGGTTGCAAAAGTAGATGACAGTTCGCCATAAACTCTGACTCGACTAGTAGCGTTCGAGTAAAGAGCCTTTACAAGGTTTATGTACTTCTGAGGTACGCCTTTTAATGACAGACACTGCCACAGAATCTCGCGGTCTACCGAGTCAAATGCTGCTTTTAAGTCGAGAAAGACCACCATTGTCGGACGCCAATAAGTATGCCTGTGTTCTAGAACCTGACGAATGGTGAATATGTGGTCGATGCAGCCACGACCAGGTCTGAAGCCAGCTTGGTTTTCTCGTGTTTGCAGTTCACGAGTCTTAGTTAGGCGTCTGATAATTATCGAGGCTAGTATTTTAGATACTATATTAGTTAAACTAATCCCTCTATGGTTGTCACAGGATGATTTTAACTCTCTCTTATACATTGGGACGATAAGTGATTGCTACCAGTCAGATGGGATAACGTCTAACTCCCAGATCTTAGCTAAAATATTAGTCAACCTAATCGCTAAAATTGGACCACCAACCTTAAAGACTTCTGGAGCTAATGCATCTGGACCAGCTGCCCTTCCTCGTTTCAGATTAACTATAGCCTTTTGAACTTCAGCAAGAGTTGGGGGACCTACTTTAATGTTCCATTCACATTGTCTGGGAATGGAGGGTAGTTGTAGAGTAGCTGAAGGCCAATTGAACTGTTCTCTAAAATGTTCCGCCTATCGTTCTAAACGTCTGGACTGAGAGCAGATGAGGGTATCGTCTTTTTTCGAAATAATCTCTTTTACACTTGACTTATTAATTCCAGTTCCTTTTATTAGTCTGTAAAGCTGTCTTGTGTTTCCTATAGTCGCCGCCTTTTTCATCTCTTTTGCTTTCGTTACCCACCACTGCTCACGGTCGTTCCTTAGACTTTTTCTTAACCTAGATCTGATTTCTTTACGCCCTTCATCATGTTCAGAACGATTGTTTGAGCATAGTTGCAGCAGACGATCACCATTATCTGTTCGCTGTGTCGGAATACTAAAATACCCACCTGAATGCCTTTCTGTTTGGTTTAAACTACCTATCTGGGCATTAAAGTCACCTGCTATGAGTACTATGTCTGAACGTTTAGCTTTCTGAAGAAGTTCAGAAAGCTTTCTGTATAATTCATCTTTCATTTCATCTGAGCTGCAGTCGGTGGGAGCGTAGGTAGAAACGACAAAAAGGCAAGGATGTGTGTCCCGATCCTTCCGAGTTCTTACGTAGCCGTTTAACCGAACAGCACATAAACGACGGTTGACGGGGATCCACTCTAGCAGTGCTTGTTCCGCCCTCATGCTTAATGCTATCCATACTCCTGCCAATCCACGAGAGCTGGCCATCGGATCACCAGATACACGGAGGGTGTATCTCGTTGGCTCTCCGTTTTGACGAGGTGAGGTCAAGTGAATGACCACACTGGAATCCTGTATGCGTGTTTCGGAGACACAGCATACATCAGTGGTAAGAGACTCTAGGGTTTTAGCCAAGGAAGCCCGTTGACCGATTTGACATAGGGTTCGTATGTTGAAGGCTCCAATGTGTAGTTTGGAGCGAGGTTTCAGTAGACCTGGGACAGAGTTTTGAGCACTAGAATCGTTGGCTATGGTGACATTTGAGGAGGAAGCCGAAAGAGGAAATTTAGAGTTAAAAGTCGATGTAGGAGGAATAATAGGAATTGAAGATGGAGGTTGATTATGAATACAGTGGTCTTGAGTGCTGTTAGAGGTATGAGGGCGGTTATCACTTCCCGGTTGCACACACCGTGGAAGGGTTCTTCTGGAGGTACCTGAAAAAAATTGGATTAGAGGTGGTTTTAGTGACCTGAGAGCGTGACCGCAGTGCCCAAGGGACAAGTGCTTGAGGTCGGTCACACACGACCTTTTTATGGGCAATTTTTGCGTTAGCTCCGTACTTGTTGAGACCTTACCGCTGGAGACGGATATCCGTGGAATAAGGCGAGGTGTGCATTTTTAGGGTCGACCTTTTCTAACCCCACCCCACCCCTCCTTGTGGGAAGGCAGCATCGCTGTCATGCTGGTTGTCGGAAGGAAACACCTTACTGCTGTCACACCTCTGTACAGTCAGCAGTACGACTTCGCCTTCGGACCTTGGGTTTGTTGCATTTAGTCTTACCGCTCTTCAACCGACCTTTCTGACGTGGTAGGACCTTGAGAAACGGTTGTTCCAGTCAGTATAGCTCGGTTGCTCCATCACGATAGGCAAGCCCGACCACCACGTCAAGGTAGCAACAACGGTCGGGAGATCGTACTTCTAGAGACCAGTTCTATAGTACGTATCACAAGGACGTCAAAAAACTTGACCCTGGCCAACATCAATAGAGAATGAAATCTGACAGATTAGTACTCCCCAGACTTTACGGTAGGCCGAAAATACACAAACCAAACATCCCACTACGTCCAAGTGTAGCACTTCCCGGAACCCCAACATACAATTTGCCAAGAGAAATCTCACGAATATTGAAACATTTAGTAGAATGTGGTTTGAGAAGACAGAATGGGAAGGAATACGTGAACGTATACGGGAACCGAATATCTAGCGGAATATTTAAAATGAATGCATCTCCCCCATTATGGCCGATTCTAAACCGTATAACCCAACGTCTCCAGCCATGGTTGGTGATTGTTGTACAGACGCCTTAGTTACAAAACAGTTAAAAGGATAACTAAAGTAAATTCCGCGCAGGAAAACTTCTACAGAACCCATGTTAAGTGAAGTATATTCCGTAAAGCAAATAAGACAGAAAAAATGTGCCAGACTTGCTGACTTTCTGAAAAGGTGGAGTATCGAGCGACAAGTCTATACTACACTAGATGACGAACGTACTGGAAAAGCAAATATCTTTCGTTTAGTGATGACTTAAGTATGAAAAACGTCGAAAACATATTTGACCAACTAAATATGTACCGCACTGAATATAAATGAGAAACATTTGTAAGATTGGCGATATTATCTGGCTAAAAATTGAAAAAGGTGTAGTAGACTCGAATCCTAATATATAGTGGGTGAGCCACTGCTTCAATGTGATAATAATTATCAATATTTCAGAAATAAATTCAAACAATACCAGTCAAAAATTCTTACCATAAAGTCATTATTAAGTGGAAAGACCTAAAAACAAGGCTTAGTGACAGTATATAGTATATCCGAACAAACGCTTTAGAAATGACTAACATCCGTTCACACTTACTTGAGTAGTTAACAGCATAACTGTATAAGATTTATCATTTTGAAATTTATTAATTATGCTTAGACGATCGCATACTTTTGCAGTACGACCATCTAATCGTAAAATACGATGTTGCGTAGGACAGTGCAAATTGTCATTAAATGTATAATTATTAACAGGACATTTTATATCTAGAATGACTTTTTCAGCCATATCAAGAAACTTTATACTTTGTGAAAATATCAACGTGCGCGGTGAATCTCTTTGTGGATTCGATTGTAATTCAAGCAAAAACTGTTTCATCAAACAATGAAGAAACAAGAATTTCCCAGATTCTTTAATCAGTTGTTCTGATGGTGGAAAATGTATTTTATGTGAAACAATTTCATCAATATGAAAATTATCACCTTTACCATTGCCATCATCATAATTTAAATTAAGATTTAAACATTGTTCAGTGGACAAAAGACGCGGATGATCACAGAGCTTTTTTAGAATTACCAATTCCATTAATGGTGAACGTTTTGTACGTTGCATTAATAATTCTTTTACGTTATCAAGTTGTAAAAAATCACGATATGTGGATTCTTGTATGGAACTTAAGTAAACCCATAATACAATTTCTGTTTTACGTGGCATTTTATCTTTTATCGGTACAGCCGCATTCATATTATACTGTTGAGATAAAACTTCAGATTTTGTGCGTCTCAAAAAATATGGATCTATTATACGTCGTAAACTTTCAGCCATTAATTGACCGTGTACTTTTTCAGCACGAGAAGCATCTTTTTCGCGTCCACGAGTTATTGGTTTGTCATATTCAATAGAAAACGTTTTTTGTGTACCTAAGAGTCGACCACGATGAGTTACATTGTAAAGAGACCATAATTCCTTGAGATTATTTTGTACAGCAGTACCAGTTAAGAGAATACAATGATCTGCATAAATTGCTTGAGCTGCTTTGGTCGTCTTAGCAGATGAATTTTTGACTTTATGTCCTTCATCCAATATTAAATAAGTCCAATGAAATTCTTTACCCATCCTAGCAAGAATATCACTGGCATCATTGTCAGTGGATTTTTGTTTTTTGTATGACCTTAAAAATTCAGGATTTGCATTTAAATCAGTAGACAAATCTTTTATGCTGGAAACAAGTGTTCCGTATGTTGTAAGTAGAATACCACCATGTCGTTGGATTGATACTAAACTTTTAAGACGATCCGCTCGACTGTTATCATGAAAAACAATAACACGAAGTCCTGGTGCCCATCTTTTTAGTTCAGCTTCCCAAGTAACCAAAACACTGACTGGCATTACAATCAACACTGTGCAAGAAAATTTACTAGATACGAACAGGCCAGAAAGAAAAGCAATAACCTAAAAATTAACGAAGAAAAAATATTTACTACTAACACAGCCTAAAGTAAATAAATAATTACGAACACCATATTCGAATTTAAACTTGGAGGTGAGAAATGTGAAAAAGTGATTGGAAAATAGTTTTGCTATCACAATTTATGTCATGAGTATACGTTGTTTAGCACGCCAAGGAGAATGAAGTTGTCTGTAGCAACACAAAACGTCTAGTTCAAAAACATTGAGTCTCTGTAGGCTACTATTAACTACTTAATATTTATCAATTAACCTTAGCAAGTTCAAAGAGAAACAAACTGCATAAGACCTATAGGCACAAATTTCCACAAACCTTACTTGGAGACCGCGTAATCTAATGTTTAGAATGCGCTGAGTTGGTAGCGCATCTATCAGACAGTCAGTATTCAAAAACTCCTATATAGTTTGCCTGAAATTTTTAATACCAGTAAATTAAGACACAGTTATTACATTCTTAAAATGTTTTTAGAAACTAGAAATTTAACCTGAATGTAAAGTGATATTCTAACTCACTCTTTGTCGCTGAGTCAAACGCTCAGACTCCGTATAATAAGCAAATACTCAACGTCACTTGATGAGTGATAACGTAGACATTTTCTTTATACAGATGTGCTCTGAAGAATTAACCAATTTATTGTTTAGTAGACCCCAAATTTTTCCGAAAAGCAGAAAGTTCAGCAAATGACAAACTTATACACCTGGTTATTTCGTACGCACGATAGATGTCAGTATGTAAATACTAAGCAAGTCTTATATATCTATTCTGAAATGTTATCAGTCACTTACTCCATAAACTTGATAAAACCATTAGTCCAAAAGTAGTGGCCAGTACTCATACCTAATTCAGTCTCTACAGCAGTTTATTGGGTAAACTAGAACATGAAACAATGGTCTCTATTTATCCCAAGTATGAAATAGTCCGTTATTGTCCATAGCACTGCATTGACTCGACATATATGTACGGTTACTCCCAAGTAATTTGAGGATCTCTAGGCAAGAGATTAAGCTTTGGTACATGAGGTGAGGACGGGATTACTTCTGGAAAAAGACGGAATCAGTAAAAAATAAGTGAACAGTTTTCTACCCAGCACTAACTAGGAACACAAAACTATTTTTCTGAAAAAGGTAAGTCACTTTCGAGTTGAAAAAATGAAATGTATTAAATTAAATAACATTATACATGAGACGTTTGCTGGGTCCATTTCTAAAGCCACAAGCCTTAAATTGCAAAATACACTTACCTGAACTGTTTTACCTAGTCCCATATCATCAGCTAATATGCCGCCAGAATTTTTCTGATGTAAACTCCAAAGCCATTTAACACCGTACTTTTGATAATCATACAATTTATCATATAACAACTTGGGAACACTGAATCTATCAGCTATTTCGACCAAATCATAGGTGAGTTTAGGAGGGTCCTTTTCATCATCATGGTCAACTGCAGTAACAACATTATTAGTGTGCGACTTATAATCATAATGATCAACAGGAATTCCGTTTTCTTTCAAATAATTTTCGATCCTTTCAATTTTCCGCTTTACTTTATCGCATTGCTTAAGGTTGTAGGCTTTTTTAAGAAGACGAAGGCATTCAACATAGTCTCCAGATTGATATAACAATTTCGCTTTATCAATTAGAGTGAATTGAGTACCATCATAAAGCTATTTTTGTTCATGAAAATTTATCAAAAACGAGTACATACCTTTTCTTCCCCTGAAGCTTCTTTCGTGTTTGAAGTATCAGTATAGGTTGTAGGATGAGCTGATTCACTTCGTCCAATCTTTGATTCAATCTCAGCTGACGGAACACATAAATACGCTTCCTTCAGAAGATTAGTGCTGTCAGTTATGTTACTAGGAGATACATACTTCTCAGACTCGCAAACAAAGTACTTAGCAGCTCCCTGTTTGCATAAGCAGTAAAAACAAGAAGAATCTTACTTTTAAAGAATTTCCAGATTTTTCGGGAGCTATTGGAATGTTCTCCTTGGTATCTTGGCTTACTAAATTTTGAAGCCGAACAATTTTTCGCATAAGACTAGAAGAAGGATTTATTGCGTAGGCATCCTGACAAAGCTTGAGTGACTCATGAAAATTCCCTTCCTCACATTTTAGACGCGCTTGGGTGACAAGTGATGAGAATTCATCCTCTCGACTCATCAGGAAGTGATTATTTTATTTACCGCTAGATAATCTACAAATCAAAATAGAATATTCATTAGCATAAGAAATTTAGACCGTGGCGTAGAAAAACTTTAAGAAGTGGAATTCTTCACCAGGAACTCTACGATTACTGACGCTCTCAAACCTAAGTAAAGGAGAGTAAGCTAACCCAACCCCCGTAGAAAAGAACCTCGCTAAAAAGCTTTAGCCAGAAACAACCGCTTAGATCACAAATTCTGCAGTGAGTTGAAGGGTCTTCATATAGAAGAGTTATGACCTCTCATGATGAAAGCTACCATTCTTCGAAAGTTAGATGACCGATGTCCCTCTTAAAAACTAGAGCAACAATTAACATAGGTAAGTAGAAAGTTCAGATAGCGGGAAGGTCTTTCAAATAGCGGGGGAAATGATGAATAACCTGACCCTTATTGAGATAAGCGAAGCTCATTGGACACAATCTGGATGGAAAAGACTAACTTTGGGAGAGGTGATGTTGTATTCTGATTATTAAGAAGAGAACGCCCCGCAAGCATAAGTCTAACATATACTGTCCAACAAAAGCATGAAAAGTGCTCATAGGATGGAAAACTCACAGCTACAAGATCACCAAAGTATCCTTCAAAACAAAGTGGTACGTACCCACCGATGATAGCAGTGAGGTTGAGAAATATCAATTTTATGAGACAGCGCCCGGGAAGACCTGACCATCATGATGAGAGACTTAAACTATTTGCAGATAATCGTTTATCTCAAACTATCACCCATATTGAGAGGAATTGTTATGCCTGGAAATCCATATTTCCCCAATAATGAAAGCAAACAGATTACAATACCATCAGTTATCACTAAAAACACTTGATAAAAGGCTGTCGTTCCCTATGAAAATCATAGAATGATACTAATTCAAGATAAAGAAAATAAATTATAAATGTAACTAGATAACTGTTATGTATTTCACCACTTTAATTACAGTATTGGTGGACGAATCAACCAAACTCACTGAGGCATGTTACGCATTCATAGCAACCTAACTCAACTGGGAATCATGAATGGAGTAAGAGTAGGTTGGAAGAAGACTAAGAACTTTTAATCCAAAACAAGGTATAGCTTCACTACATGATTGACTGAGATTGGGTCATGTTAAGCTGCAGACTTCCTAAAATTAATAATATTGGAAACACTACCCCTTAGTTGAAGGTAATATTACATAGCTATAAACGAATTGTATTGTTGGTGTATTCATACTTTATTTTACCTCCGACCTAAAAGCACTAATGTTACATCCCAAAACTTAACTCCTTCGCTCGACCGTATGTTTATCATTTTTTATTTGCTCACTACTTACAGTACATAAATTTGGAGAACTTCGTCTTCCATACAACTGATTCTATTCTGTTGTGTTGATGAGGTGAGACAACTTGGATCGAAACACTTATGTACAAGGTCCAACATTTTTCATGGTTGAAAATCAGATGGGAGTCACACTCTGGCACACTTAGTCATCATATGTTTTATATTTGTGAGCCTTAGCATTTGACGTCCTCTCTTTTTACTCATGTGTGTTGTAACGTTTTTTTATTTTCGCTGATTTTCTGTTGTTAAAAGTGAAACAATCTAAAATGGAGCAATTAGGTTAGAATTCTACTTTTATTAAGTTACCATGTGCAGAATAATACAGTCATTTTGATAAAGCCGATGAAAATTTCCATCCTGAATATGCGCGATCTGGCAAACTGCAAATATCAAAAAATAACTAACTAACCAATTACGCTTCAGCGAATACACAAATGTGAGTCCTAAAGTGCAAGTATGAAATTCTGATTCATAAGCTCATTTGTCACGTATAAATTCATGTACTTGACGAGGTTCGAACCTGCAACCTAGTTGATGAAATTTGAGCACCACTGATGTATCGCCCAGCCAATGACTTTATGAATTGATGGTACGTCTCGATTTGTCCGCTCCCAGCCTTTTTTCCAACCTACTACTCAATCCTGGTGTGTATATCAAAGTAGACGGTAGTTAGGTATACGTAACATACCAACCACTTATTGATAAAGGTAAGATTACAGAAATAAACTCGTAAGCAGTTAACAATAATACCTCGATACTAAACTACTATCAGGTCTCGGTACGGTGAATTTGCATTAATTACTATCATTCGATGTTTTCAGTCAACAGTAAATCCTAAGACAAACTGAATTATTAATACTATAGTAACTGAGTCATAGCCTAAGGAAAACTGTCATTAGAATGGTTAACAGCAAAATGGTTTGTAAGGGTAACTCAATTTTCCCACTTCTATCTTTGTAATAGACATTCATGTACAGATTAAGCTATCACTATTTGATTTTTTTAAGGATTGGTCTACAACTAGGAGATTTATTTATTAACTTAAAATATTCAGACGAAGAGATTAATCATTTTCGAGAATAAGGTTTCATATCTAATTGAGGACAGAAAATCCTACCCAGATATAGACTGTAGCTATTCCACATATTTATTTGGCACTAATTCGCCCGCTTATACTTCTCTTCGGGAATAAAATGGAAACAAAATCACGAATGTCTTCTAACATACTAGTGCGGTGGCGAGACTAAGGACAAACTAATCAGATGTAAGATAACAGGCCTTGGATTTTGGCACGAAATTCATTCAACCACTTGGCCAAGTAGCGTTTTGGCATTGCAGTTTATGTCAGTTCGTGATGGAAACCCTAAATCTAATTCATAAACCCAACCATCAACTGTAAATCATAGCTCTAATTACTCACACTGGTTTATAACCATCATTTAGTCTTAATAGGTGGACATGATCAAGGTCATTTTAGCGTCGCCCAAAAGTTATCCATAAACTGGTCTCACCAATTCAGTGAACGTATTCTTTGTCTATAAATAACTGTCAATTAAAACTATGAATCAACACCGTACACAAACCTCTAACATGACCACAATATATATATAGTGTGGCGCACATATATTTGGTGCCCACTTGTACCAATAGTTATGCGTTCAAATTAATTAATTAATTAATCCAATAGTCCTGCAGTCAACAGCTACCTAAGCGATAAAAGCATTCAACATATTTAGACGACTACGAAGCGAATCCACTCCTTAATTGTTAACACTACTGTATCTGAAGGTGAAGCCAGATGAACGTTTACTTTAAAATGATGTTGAAGAGCATGCTAACGCACGAAAAATACCATGATATCAAACTGACAATTTGTTCTACACTTTTAAGACTCAACAATCATGACATCTCATATACTCTCAAAGTAACTTGGCAGAACTTAACGCCTATTAATTTTCAAGGAAGCGCCCGGATACCTTTAAAAAAACTTATTTTTACCCATTGATAAGGTCCGCAACTAACTATATATGCATTGTTCATGCTTAGGCCAGAAGTTTTGTTTTGCTTAAGATGAAGAAAACCCAATTATCTGTAAGGTGTTGAAAGGTCCTGTCTCAGTGGGATAATTTGCTTTAATTTTTGCAGCTTTCCTAAATAGTTTTAAGGAACGTATCGGACACACTAACAATGATTCGTAGTGAATCGATCAACTCTACAGATAACTGAGGATCTACAATCGAGCAGGCATTTCGAACCAAACCTATATAAACCACTCTGTCAGCTAACTCAGTAAAAGAAGCTAGATTTAGACTATTCTTACAACAATATGCTTATTCAGAGTAAATACTGAGTGATAAAACACAGCACGTGTAAAATAATGAACAATGGAACCGCAAAAAAACCGAAAAGCATCTTCTAAAAGCACTACGCAACCTACCGTGTGACAAATCAACAGCCAACACTGGTCATCAATAGTTTGGAAGTGAAATTACCGCTTTCTCGTTTCGGCAACCTTGAGCGGCTTGGCCTAAGGCGGTCATTCCGTATTTAAAGTACCTCATGTCGGTACCGTTTGTAGGCTTGCACAACTTAATATTATGTGTGCTTTTAGAAGACCCGTATATTTCAGGAAACGCTTTAAGATATATTTCAATGTGTGTCGAAAGTTTTTGACTGTCAGCTGAAGAAAACCTCGGTGCTGCACTTTTTGATCATCAACCAATGGCTACATGTAGGTGAGTTTGTATGTTGCGTCCTTTTGTGACTGCCGTAATTTCTAGTCCATTCATTCAGTATTAGTGCTGCGTTAGTGTACTTCCAAGTGTATTTTGACTGACCCAACGGATACTTTTCGGCGGACAATCCTATCTCAAAGGCTTTTGACGTGGGATGAATTTAAAAACTCACTAAAAGTTTTAAGGAGTTCCAGAAGAGCATAATTACGATAGTTTCAGATGACGTTTATTCATTTTATTCACTTACAAGGCAAGCACTCCATTTTCCTGTGATTTATCCTAGCAACAATACTGAGCAGCTGCCGACTCCAGGAAAACAAACTAGTACTGGCTATTATTGTTACCAATAAAATGCATATTTACTTTGGCTATACAAATTCCCAGACAGATATTATGGAAGTTGACTGGTGTAAACAAATCTCACGATGTCTTTCAATGTGTAATCATCTCTTGCAACGTGCAAAAACGCCTGAATTACAATATCCATCGCTTGTACTATCCATTTTCCAAAACAGATCACACTTTGAATCGTGGATACAGAAAATATGCCTAAAACTAAAAGCTATAATCTTGGATTACTACAAACGCTTCTGTGGAATCGTTACTTAGTTATACCTGTAGTGTTTTTAGTTCCATGTAATGTATAAACAATAGTCATTTCGGTCCTCAACAAGCTTTCGTGGACTTCCAAAGACCACCAAGAATGATCTCCGACAATTTTGTCACTTTAAATTTTACAGACGGTTGTCGCAACCTACGAAGTGATCACGGGCTTTTCGTCTCTTGAATGCAGTTTCTAATAAATGGACTATGCATGTAGACGGATATCAGCCTTAGAAGTTTTGACGGTAAGTTGAGGAAGTGAACATTGGAGTTTACTGGCTTAATATCAGTTACCCATCATAGAAA